CCTCCTGGAACTTTCCACTATTTAAGATACAATACTTCCCCTTTTGCTTAGACAACTTTGGCTCACCTCTTCTGATCTTTAAGACACTGAAAACTGAGGTTGCTGGCTTTATGTGGCTGGCCCGTCTGCCTGTTTTGACTCCCCATTTGGTTCCTAAAAGGCAATTACCTTTAAATTGTTTTCATTATTCCCAACTTATAGTCTCCACCAATTCACCAACCAAAAACTAAATAAAGAAAGACGGCAAAAAGCAATGGCTTCAGAATTTAAACAAACTTACCTATCCTGCAGAATGGCTACTTACAATATCAGGACCTTTTCAAAATTCAGCGATAAACAATTTAGAAAACATAATGGGGCAAAAGTTATTCAGAGTTAACTCAGAAGATTTAATTCTGAGAAGTAATTAAAGCAGAAATGCACAGTATAGTTTTGCTGGGGGCTGGGGGGAGGGGAGTGGGGTGATGAGCATAAAAGGAAAAAGGTTATAAAGTTTGGGAGGAAAAACCTTCATTTTGAAATCTACCAGGTCTTTCCAAATTAATACACAATCTATGAAACTGTCATACAGATCCATAAAAAAAGCAGCTAAAATCTTCCAAAAATAGGAAAATGGGTCAAAGGAAAAGAGGAAGTCACTAACCCAAGAAGAAAAACAATAAGGCAATAAAAAATGTAAAGATTTCTCAGCCCCATCCCCAGCGGGAGGGGTGAGGGCAGAGCAGGCACTGTGTTGCTGGAAATGCAGGGGCTTCCTCGGCCTGGGGGATGTGACTATCTGAATTAAAACAGTAAACACTTGCAGTTTTGACTCAAAACTTCATTTTCAAAAGCTTACCCTAAAGAAATAATCAAATAAGGATTCAGGTGTGTTCGTATGCACACTACTTATCGTAGGCAAAAAAGGAAGAGGAAGGAAGGGAAAGAATGTAAATGCTGAACAAATGTTTATTACCTGGAATCAAAGGGGGCACTGCTGCTTCCATGAACTGAATCCACCCTTTAAACAATTAGTTATTTAAAAACCATTTATTGTCCTCTGAATGTGCATATAATCTGATCACTTGAAACACTTTCTGTAACTGTCTTTTGTTTAAATGGTAACCGGTTGGCCTAAAATGAGGTATGTAAATTACACTATGCTGATACATCACATGGAATATATTCCATTATAAAGAAATACTATTACCATATGTTCAATGATCTCTATACGCACTGATGTATACCCACAGTTAAGGGGAAAGCAGGTTATAAAGTAGCATGTACAGATAAGAATGCTATCTTTTTACAAATAGTCATTTATATTCCTTTTTATATGTTTGCATAAAAAATCTAAAGAATATATATAAAACATTATGACCAGAGTGTAAAATTGTGATTTTTATTTTATTCTTCTCATATATTTACTTTCTTAAGGTGATAATATTATATATCCTTTTAATTTATTTAATAAGAAAAACAATGTAATGTTAATTTTTTAAAGGAAAAAGAGAGAAGCAACTGACATGTAAGTTCACATGCTATCTCAGCAAAGTATAGGAAATCATCTGTCTCCTTTCCCATGACTTACTCAACAGCACATCATCACTGCCAGGTCCTCCATGTGGCACCAATGGGGTATAAAAACTACCCTTAACACCCCAGCTCGACATTCACTCAATTCTTCATTCACTCATTCACTACCTTCTACAGGCCAGATATAGTGCTACTTTAAAAACATCTCTTCACAAAATGAAGAATGATGTAAATATAAACTAAATAAATAAAAATAAAAACATAAGTATATTCTTCACTTAATCACTGCCCTTAGATTCTATATATCCTGTGTCTGATTTCTCCCAGTGTATCGCTGTCTCTTTCCCCACCCTCACCCATAAGTGCCCTAAATTTAGGGACAGTGAGGAATAAGAGTACAGAGTCTGGCCTGTAGTGACTTCACAGTAAAAGATGCTTGAAGCAGCATCATGACATCATATTCAAGGACATAACTCAAAGCCAGCAGTGCCAGGAATATCTGTAGATCACTCCGTACAGGAAGCCCAAGGACGTGCTGTGACCTCTTGGTCATTAACAGCGTCCTCAAGACAGCAGTTGGCTTCCCCAGGCTCCATCAGAAGCCCTAATGCCTAATGCCCCAGACTCTCCCTCCTCTGCAGCCAAACATCTGAGCAGCTTTATGATGGCCCCACCTTGTGGTTTATTCCTTCTGCAGGCAGGGCTCATCATCCCCAAAGAAAAGCCCATTCCAGAAAATCAAGGAAGCAGCAAACGTGGACGTGTAACACGTAATAAATCCCTGCCCATGAATTATTGAGTAACTTGTCCATTACAGATTTTAATATTTTAGGCAGTTGATTTCCGAAAAGTAATACAAAACCCTTTATATGAATATGGAAGATGGGAATACTACATCTCATCTATTTCTTTCCCAGAAGGGATTAAAACAGTTTCCATGAAGAAATTCCAATTATATATTTTTTAAAAAAGGAAATCTTCCTTCCACTCTCCCTTTTTAGAGTAGATACAATTAGGACTAGTAAGGCACTTAATAGCAATATACAGGTATAGCTAGACAATTACTGGGGTAAATGCCACTGATGTGCATTTAAGTTAACCCAATTATTATTTACTTGGTAGTTTCTAAACACCATGAACTTTATAAAAATAAAATAAAAGACAACTACCCTCTATAATCTCAAATGAGAGATATGGGTAGTTACATAATATTTTTTTAATATAATAGTTTATTTTTACATCATTTTGTGCCTTTTTCCATCTCAGTTGTAATCCTGTGGGTTTCCCATCACCAAATCACCCACATGCCATCACCATTCCCTACTACGCCCCTGTAAAATGTCTCTGGTATATAGTTGTTCATTATTATTATCCCCCCCCCATCCTTTATGCTTCTGCTAATTTACATAATATTTTTAGTGTAAGGTTAATTTGCTTCCTCTACTAATAGAAAAATAAATGTTAACTAGGTATGTTAAGGAGAAGGATGTCCTAAAGGAACTCTGAAGAGTCTTATGGACTCCACCCCCTACTCCAGCTTTCTGGACACAACCCCCTACTCCAGTGATTGGAAACTACAACTCCCAGCAGTACCAGGGAGAGAACTGCGAGGACCCAACGGTGGAGCTCTAGCAGGAAGGAATTCTGGGACACTTGGGGGATAAATAGGGTGTGATTGCACCTCACACACTTGCTCAGGAAACAGCTCTCCTGACTTCGTGACTTGGTGTGTTCAGTCAGCCTAGCCGTAAGGTATTCCTTTGTATCCCGCTCTCTTTCCCTGGGTTGTTTCCTATTCCTTTCACCTTTTGTAAATAAGCCCGTTATTGACCCTTTTGTGTGTCCCTGCAGTATAGCTGAATTGTGAGTGTGCCAGACAGGTTCCACAGACAGGCGGCCCAGTTCACTCTGGGCTTCTCTGTAACAGGTATAAGTATGACTCTGGAGGCAGACCGGTGGGCAAAATTCCACTCACTACCTCTGTGACCTTGTCAAGTTACTTAAGCCTCTCTACCTCAGTTTCTTCATCTGTAACATGGGGATAATAATGAAATTTCCCTCACGGGCAAAGACTAAAGTATGAAGACTAAAAATGGCACAAATGGAAAATTGTTAATATTAACATAATTTTTACAAGCATATTACAAGGGAGGCACTGCAGAGAGTGCCAAGTTCTCAATAGTGGAAGGGATTTTAGTATGCACTGAGGGAAAAGAAGGGCATTTCACAGTTACAGTGCAAAAGGAACTCAAGTACAGTCTTGGAAGAAGTGAGATGAGGGTTGATGACAGGTGAGCAGGCTGAGGCTATAGTACCAGGCATCTGAACCACAGATGTAGGGAGTGCAAAAGAAATAGCACTGAGATACAAGGAAGGTGAAGATCTGACATGGGTAGGTCCTGAATACCAGTCCAAAGAACCTGAATTTTATTCTGTAAGCAATGACACCCCAAGAAACAGGGTATCATGATGGTAAAAAACGGATTCTGGGTTTCGATCCTGGCTCCACCTCTTAAGAGTTGTGTGACTATGAGCAAGGACCCCATCTTTCTGTGCCGCACTGTTCTCACCTATACAGAGGATATGGTGAGGGTGAGATGGGTGTTATAGCTGCCCCCTACCCCTTATCGGGAAGAGATATGTTCCAAGACTCCCAGCCTGAAACTGAGGGTCATAATAAACCCTATATATACTATGCTTTTTCCTTCATCATAAGGATAAGCACATCTATGATAAAGTTTTATTTATAAATTAGCCACAGTAAGAGAGTAACAATATCCAATAAAAAAAAAACAGAACAAGTATAACAACATATTGCAACAAAATTATGTGAATGTGGTCTCTCTCTCTCTCTCTTAAAATACCTTATTATACATAATATCCTCTAAGCACAGTTGACCCAAGTAACTGAAAGCAAATCCACAGATAAGGGAGGAATTACCATATATGCAAAGTACTTAGAGCAGTTACTAACACATACTGAGATGTATGAATATTTGATATTAAAAGGCAAACCACTAATCTATGACATCTCTTCCTTACATCCTGCTAGCCCTTCAGAAAAATACCAACAGTTCGTACTGGCAATGACAGCTTAGGGTATAAGACTACTTTCCAACTTTTCCAAAAATATCATGAAAATAAGTACCCTTTTTGGACAAGAACTTCCATGGTTCATGAAGAAACTTCACATCAAAGAAAAAGTCAAAACGGGTGCTAAAAAATGCACAAAATGAAGAACAATGTAAAAATATATATACATATTAAAAGATTGCAATACATAAAAAAATAAAAACTGGTACTAAACCTAAATGCACACTCTATGAGGTCCCATGAGTATTGGCAGATATATCAGCTATGAGAAGATGAGACCTGTGCTGCTGTTAAGTTACAGCTAAGGTTTTAGTACAGAGCAGAGAGAGGGAAGAGTGTGAGTTGAATGTTCAGTCATGATCGCTCAGACAACCCCTAAAGCAAGAACTTACTTCCAGATCCATCCTTGACTCTAGGTCCTTCAGGCTTGGCCTCAGAAATAATGTTTGCATTGGCGTTATTCTCCATCTCGATCACAAAGTCATTGTCTTCCTCAAACTCAGGGTGGCTAAAGATCCAATCCAGAGCTCTTTCCAGGTTATTATTCTAATAAAACAAAGCATTTTTACAGTGTGTGCAGTCTCCATGCCTCATTGTATTTTGACTATTTAAATAAACATGTCAGCAGGTAAGACAAGAGGTCTGAATTCATTAATCCTAAGTACTCTGTAAATGCAGTTGGCTGGCTTTCTGTTAGTCTCCCAACTGAAGTCTGGTATTGAATCTGATGGAAAACAGTTCTGATCAGCAGATGAACATTCCAAAACCCATGTCAGTCTTTAGCTCAGCATTGGCAGTGATGGGGTACAGAATGCCAGCATGTGCTATCTATGTAAGTACAGTCCTTTCTAACATCACACTAATTATACATAACTATAGTCTCTTTCAACTGTATGTTCTGCACCATGTATGTTAGTAGAGGCATGCCAACGTAAGCACTATGTAGCAGGACAACTGAATTGCAATAGAGACACGATTAAGTTTTGATTATCAATGACAACACTGATGAGTTAAGGTGAATGTTTTACACAAGCTCCACACAGTTCAAACTAATTGACCTTAAAAATATTTCAGTCTTCTGGCCCTCCCTGGTGGTGCAGCGGGGTAAAGCACTGCATTGAGAAGCTAAAGCCACTTCCTCAGGAGTTCGATCCCTGCCTGCCCTGGAGGTGACCACATGGCGTGGCAGACCTCTCCTGACCCGCCCGCTGCTCCCCTCAGCAGTGTACTTCGTGGATCTGCCTGTTCTGTTCCCCACTCTGTCTCTGGTGAATCCTCTCACCACCCCTGCACCTCTGGCCTGTACCCCAGTTCTGTATGCACAAATAAATACATCTTTAAAAAAAAAAAATATTTCAGTCTTCCCATTTGTGATATTAATGACAGGTTAAGAAATCATAGTCAGAATTTCCAATAAAACAGTCAGGCAAGTGAAATAAATGGGGCATAAACACCTGTCCCAAGTGAAACAGGTTCTGGTGAAGACATTTCAGGAATTTTTACCAGAAACAGGTAATTTCTTAGAGTTACTGTGACCTTAGCAATGTATATTAGCAGGCAAGCAATCAGGATAGGCAAGAATGAATTAGCAGACATCCACTCAAAAGTGGATTATGGTGCGGCAAGGGAGGATGGGCTTTAAAAAAAATACTCTCCCTCAACATTAAACAATATTAAACAGCTATCTGCACTAAAGAGCAAGGCTTCTATCTACCTTTCACAGTCTCATCTATTATCAAGAAGTTCATGAAATCAAAAGAAACCTCTCTGAAGAGAGAAAAAAAGGATATTTCCAAGAATCATTCTCTAGAATGACTTCTGAAAAAACATTTCTCCAAGGTCTTAGATCAAAAAAGCATAATTTCTCCTAAAAAACTAACTTAATAAAGAATTTTGTGCATTTTTCTTAACTCCAATGCAAACTCCCAGTTAAGCTTCTGATTCCTTTATTAAGCATTTAGATAGGGAGTTTCCTTCTTTTAGTCACCTTGCCCCAGATGTATTATCTCCCCATTTTTTAAAAATTTCCGATCCCTAAATTTTGTGTATGATTTCTCAGTCATCTATTTGAGAGATATATGTACATATATATACATGTGTATAAGTATTTACTACACTAAGCAAATAAATCTCTGTGGGATGTATTGGGGTGGATGGGGGGCAGAGTGAAACACATATAACTGAAAATGACCAAAGGACATTGGAAAGGCTCACTCACTGTAAGTAGAAAACAAAGTAGCCTCCATAAGAAGAGGTAATTGACAGACATGGATCCATGCTTACCGTTGCTCGAAGTGCCTGAACAGCCTGGTTTCTCTGGAACCCCATCGAGGTAATGATAGCTATAATTTCCTCTGGAGGTTGATTATCCAATCCAGTAGCACCAAAAATGGAGGCTCCAGCAGAAGCTGCTCCTCCATAACCAGGCATTGTTAGCGGTTCAGCAAAATCTGGGGAAAATGAATATACTCAGGCCTTTTCCTTCTTGAAATAAATAACACTTTAAAGCTAAGAAGAAAAAAAGTACCTATAAAGTTATAAGAATAAAAATATTCTGATACTCACAGAAGGCACCATAATACATGCCACCCCAAATGAAGAGATTGAGAATCTAGAAACAAACCCAGATATTTATGTTCAATTGATTTCCAACAGGAATACCATGACCACCTCGGAAAAGTGTGCATCCTTATGCAAAAATAATAAAATTGAACCCCTACCTCACACCCTACATAAAAATGAAAACAAAATGGATCACTGACCTAAATATAATAGCTAAAAACCACAAAACTCTTAGAAGAAAACAGATGAGTAAATTTTTGCAGTGTTCTGTTCCTTTTTATGGCAATGAATACTATCTCAGTGTGACCTTACATTAAGCAATGTAAGGTATTATTCTTAGGTATAATATCAAAAATGTAAGTGACAAAGAAAATTAAATAAATTGGATTTCATCAAAATTAAAACCTTTTGTGCTTCAAAAAAACACCATAAAGAAAGTGTGAAGATAACCCAAAGATATATGCAAATCATATAACTGAGAAGGTACCTGTATACAGAATTATAAAAAGAACTGTTAAAACTCAACAATACAGGGCCTTCCCTGGTGGTGCAGCAGGTTAAAGCACAGCACTAAGAAGCTAAAGCCACTTCAGCATGAGTTCGATCCCCTCTCGGAGGTGACCACATGGCACAGCAGACCTCTCCTGACCCACCTGCTGCTCCCCTCAGCAATGTACTTCATTGATCTGCCTGTTCTGCTCCCCACTTTGTCTCTGGTAAATCCTCTCATCATGCCTGCACCCCAATTCTGCATGCATAAATAAATAAATCTTTAAAAAAAAACTGAACAATACAAAATAACTAATCACATCAAGAATGAGCAAAGGATTTGCCTAGACACATCTCCAAATATATACAAATAGTCAGTAAGCATAATTATAGGAAAATGCATATCAAAAATCACAATGAGCAATATTTTCACATCCACAGGAATGGATATAAGAAAAACACTAACAACAAGAGTTTGTGAGGATATGCAGAAATTGGAGGCCTCTTCCACTGGCTGGTGAAAATGTAAAGAGCTTCAGACATAAATGAAAAACACTAGGCAGTTCCCCAGAAAAGTTAAATCTGGAATTACCATGTAACACAGCAATTTCACTCAAAAATTTATAAACAAAAATTTTTACATGTAAAAATGTTTATAACAGTATTATTTGTACTGACCAAAAAGTGGAAACAACCTGAATGTCCATCAATAAATAGATAACTAAAATGTAGAATGTGCATACAATATTACCGCATATTGCCTAAGGAGGCTACTGCATCACCCTAAAAAGAAGTACTGATATATGCTGCAATATAAAAGAATTTTGAAACTACCATGTTAAGTGACAGAACCCCAAAACAAAGGGCCCCAAAAGACATAATCCCACTTTTAGGAAATGGCCAAATGGGTAAATCCAGAGAGTCAGAATAGATAAGTAGTTGCCAAGGTCTGGGGAGAGCAGGGGGACTGGAAGTGATTCCCCAATACATACAGGATTTCTTTTGGGGGAACAAAATGTTAACAAATCAGGTAGTGATGACAATTGCCCAACTCTGCAGATTTCTTGTTTGTTTTTCTTTATTGTGGTAATAGTGGTTTACAATACTGTATGTCATTCAGGGGCATAGGTTCACATCTCCTCAGATGTATGTTATCACACCATTAAAGCAAATTTACTAAAAGCCAATGGAATATATACTTTGAATGGATTAATTTTATGATATGTGAATTCTACCTCAATAAAGTAGATTAAAGAAAAAGCTAAACAGCCCCATTTCTTCATGCACATGTTTCCATTTCAAGTCCTCAATATCTTTTAGCTCCAAGTATACCCACATCTTTCCAGTGGCTGCTTTGATAGCAAATTAGACACTTTTAAAAGTGAATTACATCCCAATAAAATTGCTCTTTATTAAAAAGAAGAATAAGGAAGGATTATAGCTTCACTACACAAGCAAAGTTCCCCCACTAGCAGAGTAGATTATGAGTGGAAAACTCATTCTCTGAAACACAACCACAGGTTATGGAAAAGCCAAGGTTCAGCCTCACTTGAGATCGTGCTAGATTCCAAAGCCATTCCATTTTCCAATAACCTACCTGGCTCTTCCATGTGAACAATGATCCAGTTGAAAGCCACCTCAGCTCCCATATTTCCAGTAAAGTACACGGCCTTCCGACACGCTTCCAGAGGGAACCCCATCTCAGCCAGCTGCATCACTGACGATTCATCAATGTCCGATGCTGCAGAGCACAATAGGATGTTCTGGTGTGAAAACGTCAACTCACTCTCTTCTTGTCTCAGCTCCTCTTCACCCCCTTTACCCACTTGCTATCAAAGAAAGTGTATTTTTTTTAGTGTGTAGATGGTAATTTAACTTTTTTTTTAAAGAATTATTTATTTATGCATACAGAACTGGGGTACCGGTCAGAAGTGCAGGGGGTGAGAGGATTCACCAGAGACAGAGTGGGGAGCAGAACAGGCAGAATGACATAGTACACTGCTGAGGGGAGCAGCAGGCAAGTCAGGAGAGGTCAGACATGCCATGTGGATCCGGGGCCAGGGATCGAACTCACACTGAAGCAGCCATGGCCAGCCTGCAGTGCTGTGTCAAAACCTGTTGCACCACCAGGGAGGGCCCAGGTGATTTAACGTTAAGTCACCCACGTATCCAGCTATTGAACTGGATTTATCTCTTTGGCCAAAAAAGGCACCATGGGAATTACCTGAAAATCTAAGCACTAAAAAAAAATAATTCTCTAATTTCATATGGGAAGATCGAATGTATTCCACAGCCATTTCAGACCTCTAACAGCCTCTTCCATGACTTTATGTTGAGTAAAGCACTATCTAGGGGCCAAAAAGCCTATTCCTTAAACCCCACAGAAAGTCAGATATGAGATATATCTGCAATGAAAGGAAGCAATCAGTTATTGGGAAACAGAGAGCCCAAATGTTCATTCTAGAGGGGGGAAAATGTGGTTTTTAATTGTGTATATCAAAGATATTAAAAGAGATTGATTTACAAGTCAACTTGGTATAGAGAGTTTTGTTTTCTTCCAATGTAATTTTGTAGAACAGATACCTCTATTCCTAAATTCTTCTATTTGCATCATTGACAGAATTTTCAGTAAATTAGAGCTTTAAGGAAGCAGTGATGTAAGACAACAGAAATGCCTAAAGCATATTCCTATTGTACCTTCAAAGAGAGGTATTTTTTGAACTACAAGATAAGGACTTCACAAGGTCAAACAAGTTTTTAAAGCCTACATTCTCTGTTCTCCCTTTAAAAATTCACAATATGTGGGCCTCCCTGGTGGCACAGGGGTTAAAGCCTCAGTGCTATCAAGCTATTGCCAGACACTGTGGCACAAGTTCAATCGCCAGCCAGGGAGCTGGCCCACATGGCTTAGCAGACCTCTCTTGTCTGGCACACTGCTCCCCTCAGCAGTGTATTTCAGTAGATCCTCCTATTCTGCTCCCCACTCTGTCTCTGGTGAATACTCTCACCCTCTCCCCACACACTTCAGGCCCCCCCAGTTATTATTTCTTTCACCAGAGTTTAGATCTCTACTTCTCCATAAGATGGTTATTAGTGAGATATTTGCACTGGGGAAGTCTCCAATGAGCAGCACACCTTTATATATGCATAAATAAATAAAAATTAAACTTTATTTAAAAATCAGATCATGCATTAGCATAGTGAAACTTGAAAGTTCTGTAATAAAGACTCATACAGTAAATAAATTATGAAATATTCAGAACATCTTTCAACTGCACCCTCACTGAAGTCCCATAGCTAAAGTGACAGACCAATAAAATTGTGGGACATTGAAAACAATTTTAAAAGATACCTACGGTCTATCAATTGGTTCATCAGGCGATCTGGAAATTAAGGGAGAAGGAAGAAAATGAGACCAAAACACCAGTTTTAGAGAGAAAAATAATAGTCCAGGGTAGTGCCTAAATCCCCACCCTTCTGGGGAGCACCCCCAACCCCACACAGACCACCCCCACCTGCACAACACAAAGTTGTTGTGGGACCGGGTTTCCCGCATTTAGACCAGATAAAACATGATGATCTGATTAGCCATAGCTAAATAATTTCTCTCCCTGCATTTCTAAGAACGCTATAATTACAAACCAAGGCTTCTGTTAGGAACATCAGAGAAAGAAGGAGCAGGGCTAATAAACCATCCTGCATTTCTCTGATGTTTGTATTGATCTGTTCTTTCTCTACCCCCTTTAACAAACCACCTGTATCAAATAACCCAGATGTCCCACATTTCTTCTCTCCTATCCCTGCTCTTGGATTTAACATATGGTTCAGCATTATAGAATAATGATACCTCTCTTGAATGTTACCCTGCTCCTCCTGGATTCCTCTTACGCTCGTTGGGCACGAGAACAAGATCACCAATAGTACTCCTTGCTCAACTGATGGAAAACCTACAGGGTAGGGGCCCAGACTGCCATCACTGTTTGTTAATTTGCCTCATCTACTATTATAAGATAGACAGTAAATAGATGAGCAAACTCAGCCAGCATGAATGTGACTTCATTAGCATAAATTCACTAGTAAAGAAAGCAAGATTTTTTGATACTGTCCTTCAACTCATGAAGGTGAGACAACTATTTTTGCATGCCCTTCCCCCTTAAAAGTTAGGTATTCTTCGGATGGTTTCACTCATAGCAGGAGTATAATGGACCAGGCGAGAAAATAATAAGAATAATGAACAGCCATATACCAGAGACATTTTGTGGGGGTGGAGTGGGGAGTGGGATCAAAAAAGGGGCGGGGGAAGTGCACAGGACTGTGGTGATGGCACATGGGTGACTCGGTGATGGGAAACCCATGGGGATTACAATTGAGATAATAAAAAATGTACAAAATGATGTAAAAATAAACTGTTATATTATTAAAAAAAAAAAGTTAGGTATTCTGAATAATGAGCACTTTAGCCTTCACAGACTGAAAGAGAAACTTAAACTGCTCCCTTGCTCATGAAACAGTGACTAAAATGGGGAAGTGAGATGTGGACAAGATTTTTAAAACTAGCACATACTGCTGAATCTCCCCTTTCACTTTGTTCAAAAGGATGACAGAACTCCCCTAAACTAAGAGTCTGCTGACAACACTCTTTTCCTACTGATTCACTAGAGAAAAGAGAAAGGCAACATAACCTAGAAACTTTTTGGAGATTTGATACCCTTCTTTTTTTTAAAGATTTATTTATTTATGCATACAGAAATGGGGTACAGGCCAGAGGTGCAGGGGCGGTGAGAGGATTCACCAGAGACAGAGAGGGGAGCAGAACAGGCAGTGGGCGGGTCAGGAGAGGTCTGCCCCGCCATGTGGGTCACCTCCGGGGTAATGATCAAACTCGCACTGAAGTGGCCGCACTAGCTTGCAGTGCTGAGTCCTAACCCGTTGTGCCACCAGGGAGGGTCCCCCTTTCTTGCCAGTGATTTCCACTGGTCAATTTCAACTATTCAGGATGGGTATGTTCCTCCTGTCAATTTTAAGGTTACTGCTGCATGGAAGAAATCAACTGTTCCAGCAGAACGGGGTTGGGGGGAGGGGGAGTAGAGCAAGCCCTCCTGACAGGAGATGGTACCTTTTGAGTCATCAGGAATAACTATGGGGGGGCTGATGTCTGGAAGTTCTTCCTCTCCTGGCTGTAACCCCCTGGCCCGGAGATGGTTGACATCAAGTAGGTCTGGCATATCAATGGAAACATCTGCAAAATGAGAGCGATTATATTCACTAGACTCTGCAAAAACCCACAATCACCTGAAGCCAGCACCACTAACTCTATGTACATGTGTTCAGGCAGAGCTAGACTTTTCAGTCCCTGGAGAAGAGCACTGGACTAGCTAGTGGCTCACTGAGACCAATCAGATTTTAATGGAGAACCAGAAGAACATAGAGGGTGGCAGGATTTCACGCTGGACTAGACCAAGTAGGGGTAAGCCAATTGGCAACAAATTCCAACGTTTAAATCAGAGGGTAAATTTTTAAAATACAGATTTTCGACCTATAGAAAGCTATAGCTTTTAATCTTTCTAATCTCATAAAGCTAGAGCTGCTGCTCTTCAGCTTCTACTAATCAATGTGAGCCTTCTGTGGCACTCTGCCTCGGGCTTCATTGCTCCCATGACCCTAAGCAGCATATATGTGCTACTGAGATTCATTTAACAGACACAGATTTTCTGAAGCCATGTTTTTATTCAAAATAGGAATACCCAAGAAAGACCAAGATAGCTAGTCACATGTTTCTTACACCAGTTGAGTTCTTTCATTTATATATCACCCTTTCTTTATTAGACACTAGGAAATCTCTAGTCAAGATAGGTAGTGTGATTATTCTAAGGTAATTAAATAATAACATTTTAAAGAAATTAATTGGGTCTCAAGTATGACAGCTGCAGTATTATGATACAGTACTACATATATTCAGATATGATAATGGAAAATGGGCTCAAATATTGGTACAGGATATGTGTTCTGGGCTAGAAAATAAAAACTAAAGATACTTTTCCAAAACCAGCTCTGATGCCAGGTAGCTAAATCCTATTTTAAAGCACAATCCAAAGAACAGAGCTTAATTAAAAAACCAATTTATATCTCAGGGGCAGCAAAAACAAATATAATGTTTAAGCAATAAAGTGAATATAATTGTGCCTCAAAAGAAAATTTCAGGTTTATTAAAGCAAGCTTTGGGACTCCTTTAATTTCAGCAAGTCTATAAAATCTGCTCTGAATTTTTACTCTTTTTCAAAAATTCCAAGGACAATGAAAACTGTTTCCAAAGCAGTTCAAAGCCTTTAGAAGAAATCAGCTTTCTCACTCAAGTACTTCTCAGGCCCCCAGTGGAAAGGCTGCTTAATGAGTCTCCTCTCTCTCCCCGCCTCCCTGCCCACCAGGAAGAGCAAAGATCTGTTGCAGAATCTGTCACAGCCCCCACGTAAAACACACAGCAAACAAGCGCAATGTAAGCTGTTAGTGCTGCAAGTTTCTGGCAAATCACTTCTGCCAATTTTCCTACTTTTTACCTCCCCATCAGATGAACAGAGAAGTGCTCAATTAACCAGTGGAAGTGGGTGGCTTTCCTTAAGTGCTCAAAAAGAAAACCTTTAAAAGACTGGCAAAAAGGCTGACAAACCAGACAGTAAAACTGTTCATCCTGCCATGCTGCTGAAGGCTGCCTCACACCTTCATGTGAGATCAGGACACGAGGGAAAATGTTCCTATGCACTGAATGAAAAATCAAACTTAGGATGATCGAGGGCCTTTAAAATTAATGGAAAAAAAAAAGCCCAATAAAGCCAAAATCACATGTTTTTCTGGGTTGTTTAATGCACCTAGCTGGACTCATTTCATTATTAATAAAGCTGGACATTTATCTAGATGTCATTGGCCACACATGAGCACTTCAGAGGTGGAGACAGGCGCTAACAGAGGAGTGTAGTGTCCAGAACATGCCCCCAGCATGTAGTCTGGGATGAGCAGCAGAGTCGGCATCACCTGAAGCTTATTAGAAATACAGAGCCACAAGCTACACCCCACACCTCTGACATCTGCATTTGACCAAATCTCAGGTCATTTGTATTCACGTTAAAATTTGGGAATAGTGGACTTTGGTGGAAGGCTGTGGGTTCTTTGCTGGGGGTTGTGCTACCCTGACTATGCCTATATTTAACAACAACGTAAACAGTGTAAATGATACTGCAATTAAAAAAATAAAGGAAAAAAGGGGGTAAGTATTGTCAAACAATGTAGAACCTGTTTTCACTCCTAGAATTTTGGCATTCCAGAACCTGTTAGTACAGGGGTGGGCTGCATGTGATAAGTTATGGTTGGTGTTTATAATATATAGAAGAGAAAGGTGGGAATAATGAAAACGGAATGAAATGGAACTATTCTGGCAGCCGGCCGCAAGACTCTTTCACATGCCATGTTGTTTAAATGACTAATTGGATGTTTTAAGCAAAAGCATGCAAAAGATACCTACCAAATTTTTTGGGAACCCAGTCAAGACCAAAAGTGAACTTCTTTATCTGCACTACCAAGTATTCAGGGAATGAGGCAAAGCGAGATGTTCTGGGAAACACAAGGGCATTATATCAATGAAACAAGGAAATAAGAATTATGAATACAGTTCATGAGCATCACAAGCTAGTCCGAGGCATACCTGGCAGCTCGATGACTGGGCTGAGGGCGGCACACAGACAGACACAAGCGGACACACACCCACCCACTCTTGCTCAACCTTGACTGTGCGCCCTTTCACAAGAAGAAACTTCTTAACAAAAGAGAAGAAAGTCCCTTGGCAATGATCTGGAGCCTGTTAGATGCTTACTTTTATGTTGATTGGCATTGTATATTTCTGAAAAGTACTTTTCAACCATAAACACTTGTTTTTTCTAAAAGAAACCTTTTAGAAATGCCAGGGCCTCATTAAAATACTATGGTGCCTATATCTGTATTCACAAGGCTCCAAGGGAGTGTGTATAGAGAGGGAGCTGCTATTTAAGTATCTAATCTACACTTTTAAATCAATGCATACAATCAATGTCTTGATTACCTTCCAACTTTCAGAACTGTTAGTTGTCTGGACCTGTATTTAACAATTTGATGCACAAACCATTCAATTTGTATACTAAAGTCACCCTAATTCATTCCTTTCACCTTTACCATTTTATTTATCATCATTGCTATTTGAGTGTCAATGTCAGTGTCGTAGGTATATTTAAATAGAAAACCAGCTATATACAGATGTTTTTTGGAGGATGCAGCCTTACGTAATTTTATTTTTTTAATTTATATATAAATTCTTGCCTTCTACTCAAAATGCATCAACCCAGAATCCTGAAAACAAACGCAAGTGCATTGCTGCCCTCTAGTGTACAAGAGAAGCCACTGCACAGGGACAGAGCCCTGGACCAAAGTCAGAAGACATGGATTTGGATCCTGGGAATGCAGCTTAGTTCACTCCAAGTCTGGGCAAATCATTGACCTTCCCTGAGGATCAATCTTTACATCTATAAGATGGTTTCATTAACAATATCCATCTTCCAGGACTATGAAATGTTCGTGAAGTGATGTGAAGCTGTTTGACACACCTGAATGTATTATGTACACCTCAGGAATTAGCGTGATGATCTTATCACAAATATCATCAATAAAATAAGTAACATGAAACAATAAATAGCATAAAATTTGTCATGAGGCCCTGGACACTGCTCTAGTCTGGCAATGATCTTTTTTTAACCACTCATGATCTTTTTTAATTCTCCATCATAAGGATGGTAGAGAGGTACACTAAATTCTTTCAAAAACAAAAACAGGAGCATAACCATTCTAAGGAACAGATCTGTTCTTACCCTGGCCCACTCTTCAGAAAATATATGTTATGTCATCTATAATAGATTGCTAGCTTATCCATAACTAGATTTCTGTCTACTAAGAAACAATAACAGACAACACGCTTACTGAAACAGTCACAATCATTTCCAACTAATGTGGAAGTCATCTCTATGACCTCTTCCTCTTACAACATTAGCTTAAAATATGGAAAGCAGATAACAGTAAAATCAAGCAAAAGTCAATACGTCAGTGATTTCCAGAAAGTGGTGCAGGAACCCAGAAGCTGTAGCAATTGTTCTGGGGCCAGAATCTGGATGAGATATCAGCTGATAATACCATGGGGTGAGGAATACTGGGGTGAATACAGGGCAGGGAGGGGGAAATAATTTCACGCCTCTCTTTGTTATGGGTAAATACAACCTGAGAGTACTTAAAACAGGTTAATGGTGTTCACATTATATTGGCTATGCTGGAAAACACACCACTCATCTTTGTAACCTCTATATGGTCTCAAGGTGAATGCATATGTAATAACTGCTCAATATATACTTATTCCAATCGATTTCAAGTTAAGAGTAGATTGGTACATTAAGTCTATTAGTTAAATCCAACAAAGTTATAAATTATGCACTGTTTACCCTTTTATTTCTGACATTAATTCCTCCATTAAAATTTTTCTGGAAAATGTACATATTTTAAAAAGACAATTAGAATGCAAGCCAATCAAAAAGGTCTAGGTAGACACACAGAAATTTACCTCAAAGAATTGTTATGGAAACTAAATGGATTAAGACATAAAAGGGCTTAGGGCAGTTCCTGCCAAATTCTTATGCTATCTACTCACAACCTGTTGTCATTATTTAAAATACTGTAACTGTTCACCGTTATAGTTAAGGTTAAAACTTCTGCTCCCTGAAAACACTGAGATTTTGATGTTCCTGGAAACTAAAGAAAAACAATTCTATCCTTTCCATTTATGTGTAGAAAATATGCCAATTGACCAAACTCAAATTGTATAATCCAAGGCAAAAAAAAAAATAAAGATAACAGTAATAATGCATGTCAGACACCAGGAAGTCACTTAGCCACAGTCACATAACAGTAAATTCTACACTAGGGCCCCAAATGATGTTCATTTACCTAAAGACTGTGCTCTGCAAGTTCACACTTTGTTTTTCTCTCCATAAATGATGAAGGTGGAATAAAAAATCTCTCCCAATTTACCCTTAATCTGTGAGCTGCTTGAGGAAAAGAACTAGGGGTCTTGTTCAAGCCATAGCCCAGGATACACTAGATAAGCAATATCTGCTGGGTAAATGAAATTTCTAAACACTTAATATTCTTCTCAGATGTTGTCTGCCCAGGACCACTTAAGGAAGTCTTCATGCCTGGTCCATACAGACCAAATATCTACCAAGATCTATAGAGCATCTTTTGCTTTTTCCCTGGCCTTTCAAGAAGGCCAGAGGCTAACACAAGAAGCATTCTAGGCCCCAAATTATTATAACAACAAGATATAAGAAAAAGATCTTTCAGGAATCCACTGAATTCGAGTCCTCAGAATGAACATTGAAACATGGTGAGACACAATAAGAATGAAAGTTTACATAAGATTATAAGGATAGAAAAATAAACACGTATGATAAGGAATAACAGGGATGGAGAGTTTCAACTTTGAACTCAAGGGACCTGACTGAATCCCAAATCTACCATTTGCAAGCAAATTACTTCTCCTTTCATTGTGCATCTTTAAAATAGGGAGAATAAGGGCACCTACTTTATAGTAATACTAAAAGGATTAAATGATAGTTTTAGGAATAATTAATACATGACTTGGCAATAATAAAGATGCAACAAAATGTTGCTTTTTTGCCCTAAAACATTGTTTTTTCTTCCCCCCCAAAGTTCAGTTTTCAACTAATATTTGTAATATATCCAATATCAATTTTTTCACATTCATAAATGTGTAATAGCATATATATATGCAAAAGACAGAAGAGGAATAAATATGGAGAAAGAAATCCCTCTACAGGATTTTAGATAGTTAGCAGAGCTAACAGACAAGTATTTCATAGCATTTGAAAGAAAAGCAGGTCAGCAAGCATTATTCCTCCATTACATGTGGAAGAAAAACATTAGATAGGGACTCAGCTGCAAGCTGAAAAATGAGCTGAGGAGTGAACCCAGAAGAATCCAGATCTCCTGACCACTAGCCCTGAGGTCAGTCTCGGTGGACAACTAATGCCTCCCAGATCCATTTTAAAGACAGATATTTTCCAAGCGGTAAGAAGGTTCTGTTCTGCAGTGCTAGAGAATATGTCACCCAGAAATTCTAAGGGGAGAACATTTTTCAAATGGGCAAAATAGGGCAGCTACTCAGAGGGGCAAGGAAAAACAGTGTGAAGTTTATACCTGCCACAGGGCTGTCTAGGCTGCTTTATCCCACACCACACAAAACCAGAATTACAGCTTAAAGACAAAGAGATAATGGCTGAGGATTCTGCAACCTATTGTTAATAATTAAAGTAAAAATATAAAGTGAAATCAACCCCTTAAATTTAAACTTAAACTTACAAATTGTTATGTCAATTGTATCTCAGTAGTGGGGAAATAAATTGTTTCTACCCTAATATAGAATGTAGAGTTTTAAGTGCCCAAAAATGTCTCCAGTGCATTTTATAATTCATCAAGCATTATCTGCAAGGACACACACTCACACACACACACACAAACACAAGTACACACCACCAAAATGTGTTATCCTGGGATGAAAACTTAACTCTGTAAAGAATAACTGAATGGACTACTATTAATCCACATTTGGTTAGGAGGAAGCTGATTTGAAAATTATTTAGAATATATGGCTTCTTTTTTAGCATTTAAAATATTCTTTTTGCTTTCCCGTTTTTAATGTATGAGAAGTTAATAACCTGAAATAAAGAGGGACCCTTAGGGATGAATGTCAGCTAGTAAATAACTACGGTTTATCTACCACTGGAGATTGTCCGCCATAAGTAGCTCTTTCTACCCTCCACTGCCCTTCATGTCAACTATAGCTGAGTCCCAGCCAACGAGAAAAATTGCCAGACTCTAAAAGCAGAATTCCCAGAGCCAGACTTTCAGACCTTCCTTCTTCCTATGCCACTATAGGTACACTTCTTTCAATTATATGAAGTGTTGACAGGGACTTGAATGTATAAAGTAAATTATGGTGTCAAAAGGAGGAGGAAATTTTATATGCCCGACAACCAAGTTGACAATGTGGAAACAACAGGTCCTGCCTGGGTCCTGAGAAGATTATCTGAGCGACACTCAGGGGCCTACCTGGACATGCCCCGAGCCCTTGGTTTCCAGGTAAGAACATAGTCAGTCAAGCTGTAAGCCAAATATTTCACTAGGGAATTCAAATCTATCTCGGTGGAGTTTAACTACTGAAGACTGGCATAAGTACTTTCATAATTTCTTCATGGTTCTACCCTTTTGTAGGGACAGAGAGAGTTTCTTGGCTACCCTCCACCTGGACAAAAAAAAAAGCAAATTCCTAATTGAGGATACACCACAACTTTGTTTTGTTTTGTTTTGTTTTTTAAAGAATAGTCATTCCCTCCCTGGCACATCATCTAGATTATAAAGCCTGTTTCACTGACAAGTCTCACAGCAGTGAGACAACCAGTGTGGCCTCATCTCACCACACACGAGCAAGCACACTAAACTCAACAGCTCCCACTTCCTCACCCCCACACACTCCTCCAGGCCCCTCCTCAGGCCACCACCAGCACACCTGGTCACACGCCATAGGCATGCACATACACACTTACTTTACACCCGCAGACTTGGCTTGTAGGGCGCTGCTCCAGAAATCATCAACATTTTCTGGTTCAGAAAAGGCCTGAAGGCAGGCACTAAATGGTATCTTGGCACGAACCAACTCAGGAAGGGGTCTTCTGTTGGCTTCTGCTTCCCTTCTCGTTAATTCATAGGCGATAAGTTCATCTAAGTGAAAGAACACAAGAATAATCTTGTAATTGCTCTTGCCTTCTCCAAATGTCCTCTTTGGACAATCTTCCCTGAGGGCTTCTCAGAGGGTCAGGACTGCTTATTTGCCCTCCAAGATCCCCTCAACAATGTGGCACTGACAAAGCTGCATTTGGTTGCTTTATTTTGCCTGTTGTCCTTGGAGACTGGACTGTTCAGAGAGAACTGCGAACTCCAGCCCAGGTGAGTTCTCCAGACTGAATGACACAAGAATCTGCTCTTTCATTTTCCAGAGACCAAGACAATAACCAGCCAATGACTACCCTCCAGCCACAAAGCCTTCACACCAGAGAAGTTCGCAATGTAAGAGACTAGAGAACTCTCCTCTCTTCCCAGGCCCTTCCCTACCTGGCTGAAAAGCCAAGGCCCAATGCCTAAACCAGGCAATCAACAACAAAGCTGAGTGAAAACCCCGGTCATCTCTCCAGTCCACTAACCCACAAATGAGGCCCAAGAGGTATGTTCAGCTGTGTCAGGAGATCCTATGTGGCCTATCATGAGGCAAACATAAATCAAAAACAAAACATTCCTGTGACCTAAGGCTGTCCTAAAATAGAATTACAAAGGAAAATTACAAAAGTAAAATTAAGAAGAAAACTACCACTGAACTCCCAGCAAGCTACAGAGCCAGTATTAAATGTTTTCTGGTAGGTTCCACCAGCTACTATGACCAAGGTCATGGAGGTCACGGCCAAGGAGCAGATGAACTGTAAGCACTTCATTACCTACTGCACCAGACCACGACACAGACCAACAAGCCAAGACAACTTTGTCAGGGCTATCAACACCTTAGCTATCAGGTCCCCCAACCCTGAAGGTCTTTCTTCACTGTCCCTACTAAAATGACTAAACATCAAGGGCAAAAAGTCAGAAACTCCATGAACTTCCCAAAAGCCAGAAAAGCTACTCTTAGCAGTTACCTGTGAATCAGAATTTTAATCAAATGTTGAATGGGCCTTTCTGAGAGTTCTTTTGTGTTACACAAATAAATCTCTTAATTTATCCATTTTGGAGGCACAATTATGCAGCTATATATGCATTCTTAAACACATCTGAATAAGCTTCTAACATTCATTCCCAATCCACAGTTGATGATGCACATTACCTCTAAGTTGCTAACATTAGCTGTTCCCAGCTATCAATTTACAGAAACTAAATCATAAATCGCTTTTCAAAAAAATCAGTTACCACTGGGTTAGAGGTGATCACAGCACTAAGGAGAATATGTAAGTTGGGAATCCTATATGTTCTGACAAAGGTACACAACTAGGTCTAGTTCTAAAAAGTACACAAAACTTCAACCACTAGCTTTTCCACCTTGTGTACTGGAAAGAATTTAAAAACTTGTCTAAATTATGTGAACTTATGAAAAAAGGGAAATATTTCATCATGATCACAACCATCACAAGTATCCCTTTCCAATGAACAAATAAATGGGTCTTGCCTAAAAGATGGAAAAAGATAAACTAGAGAGTTCTTGAACTTTAAAAAGAAAGAACCAGTTCACAGGAGATAAGCAAACTAGTGGATATTTTGCCCTTTTTTGATTCTAAGGCATTATTTCTAGGAAATGCCAGTCACCTATTCTGCCTGGGGAGAATCAGACTAGACAGCAGAAAGAAAAGAAACTTCCCCTGAGGCCCCAACCTGGCTGGGTATCCCTGTCTTCCCATTTCCAAAGTTCAGAGGCCTTCCTAAGAGGCCTGGCTCCCACACAGAGACCTGCTACACTTTATCCCCTAGAAAAGGGTCTTAAAAACTTGACACCAAAGCTGAGTTACTTCAAGAGGCCTCTGTTTGAATGTCCCATATCAAAAATATTGTTTGAATCCTTTCCGTCAGCACAAATGTTTACTTCAAAAATTTTTAAAGAAATAACTAAAAATAATTTGGCCCCAAATTGAGTTGACTCCAAACCAACCAGTTGGTCAAATTTATAGACACAGAAACAGGTTCCATCCATAACCCCGCCTCAAAGTCTGTGCTACCGTTGATTCTTCTCAAAAGGAAGTCATGTGGAAACTGGGCAAAGAGACAGACATAGAGACTCCATCTAGGCTGAATCTGCTCCTAACATAACTTTTCAGTGGCTGAACTGTGTGATCTCAGGGTCAAGGGTTTGAGTCACAGTCGATTTCCCCCTCAGGGACTATTACCCTTGTTGGTTGCTGCTTCCATGGCCACAGGTAACTGCATCAGGTAGTCCACCCTCTCTGTGTAGCGGACTTTTCGAGTCTGACAGCACTGAATACGTTCTTCCACCAAAAACCGAAAAACATCACTTGGGTTTTCTGAGCCGATGTGGTTCCTCTGAAGGTTGGATGACATCAGATTAGTGAATTGATAAGTATTAAGACATGAACAAAAACTGGCATAATCAAATAGAAATCTGGTGTTACTAAACATTCCCCAGGGCCACTTCACCAGACTGCTTTAAGAGCTAAACAAGGGATTTATCTGAAGACAGAAATAGGAGACTGGGTCAACAAATGATAGTTTACTATGTGAATTAATACTATACAGTCATTAAAAATGATGGGAAAGGGATGACTAAGTGAAATGAAAAGGAAGGGGTTACAGGTGCCAAAGTAAAAAGAAAGAAGAGAAAATAAGTTAAGGCATGATGTGATTACACAATATGATGTGATTTTATAAACACATTCATGTCATCAACAAATAAAGAAATCATGCTGTATTCATATATGTGATGAGATGGCAAAACAGTCACCACAGGTTTAGGATAACTAAACTTACACAACAACATGCAACAAATTGACAAATATGCCTGAAAATCACAGGTGGGCTAGACTCTAGATGCTAATCCTGCATCTGCAGGGCTGGCTGGCATGAGAGGGATTTTTATTTTCTCCTTTGTGTTAAATAACACTTTAGTAATCAGGAAAAAAAAGCCTGTTTTTTTTTGGGGGGGGGAGGAGGAAAAGGGGAAGACTTTTAAATCATGCACTCTGAGTGGCTCTTAAAAATCAGCAGCATTTAGAGCCCTCCCTGGTGGCGCAGCGGGTTAAAGCACTGCACTAAGAAGCTAAAGCCACTTCTGCATGAGTTCATCCCCGCCTGCCCCAGAGGTGACCACATGGCATGGCAGACCTCTCCTGACCCGCCCGCTGCTCCCCTCAGCAGTGTACTTTGTCCATCTGCCTGTTCTGCTCCTCACTCTGTCTCTGGTGAATCCTCTCACCCTCCACATCTCTGGATGTGGTTCTGTATGAATAAATAAATAAATCTTTAAAAAAAATCAGCAGTATTTAATATGATTTGACTCTGTGGTGAGCAAAATAGGACCTTCTCTGAGTAGTGGCAGAAGGACTCCAAATACCACATGGGGCTCAAAGAATTTTGTTTGGGGGGCCAAAAAACCCAGAATGTAATAACTAACAAACACTTCTACAGCACAGACAAACTAAAAGAGAACAGCTCAATACAAGCACCTAGAAAACAGGGCGCAGGTACCAGCACCTCATGTGGGCCAGACAAAGTCTCGTAGAAGAGAGTTCTGAACCAATTGGGACAAGGACAGGTTTTAGGTAAGCAGAATGAAGGCTGTACCCTGCAGCCAGGCCTAAGTGGAGCACCAAGTGGTGGGCACACTCCCTGCAGCCTTTGCCTACCCTTGAGGACGGACTCACCTCTACTAGATTCACCAGGTGCAGGAAGAACTCCTGGGCGTCTTGCTGTCTGTTGGAGGAAAACTCCGGGTGGCTCTTGCTTACAAAGGCCTTAAACATGCGTGGAGAGATGCCATTCTGTTGAGGCTAAAATATGAAAATAAATCAATCTGCAACACTGCCAGAGACATTACTGGCACTTAGCAGCAAGCAGAGCAGGAGTTACCCTGAATCCCACTTCTCAGACAAGAAAAGTGAAGCCCACAGAAGCTAGAGAATAACACTGGCTGACACTCATTAGATATCTAGTATGTACCAGGCTTTGGACTATGAACCTAATATGAGAACAGGATGGAATCTTCCTGTTAACTCAGAAGTTAGGACAGTGGGCAATAAATACCCCACTTTCTAAAGAGACACAAGAACGAGCTCAGTCCCACAGGACTTGCTAAATATCACATTGCAGCAGTCATTAGAGCAGACAAGAGGAATGTTAGGATGGGGGGGCCCCAAGGGAGGTCAAAGGAGAGGAGACTCCGCAGCATCTCCCTCCCCTTCCCATGAGAGAACCCCTTGTAAAGACTGGGGTACTAGCAAGAAAAGGAAAAGGCCCTGGCTGCCCCAGGCAGTCACAGGGTAGTCTGTGACTACCCTGCACTGTTTCTGGAGTAAAGAACAGGGAGTGGCCAGCAGCTCTTGATGGGGTCCCCAAAAGCCTGCCTCTCACCCAAAGAACTGGATAAAGATTGCCAGTTTCGCCAGGCCTGCAGAGCAGAAAGAGCAGGAGACAGGGACACTTTACTTTATTTATTTTTTTAAAGGCAGGACAAGTTCATGTGGCCTTCCTCAGGGGCTAAAAGGTTAGCTCAGAAAGGGGCCAGGCTCCTCCAGGAAAGACACAGTGTGAGCTGATGGGAGGCAGCTGGCAGAGGAGATGTCGGTGAGAGCGAGGCGAGCATATGGAGGTCAGCTAAAGAGGGCATCAGGGAAAGACCCTTGTGAGAACCTGAGGGGACAAGCGGGACCAGGGGACGTCTCTGCAGAACCCCCACAACAGAGCCAGCCATGCAGAGGCACATGGCAGCCAACGGGAGCCAAAGCTCCTGCTCAGTGAAAGGCTCTGTCTCTTCAGTAATCTCTGACTGATGACCCTAGCCTATGGGGGCTAAAGGGGTGGGAGGAAGCAAAAGGGGAGCAGGGGGGCGGAAATATCAGAGGCCAGCTGCTGACCCTCCTCTACTGCTGGCGGAGAGCCTTCAACATGGTAGAGGAAAGAAGCTTTGAATTGGCTCTGTGTGAAGTGGACCTTTCAAAATTGGCCTAAAAGGATCTGAAGCGGCATGGTGACAAGAGCCCATGTCGCCTTTGAGGAAAGAGTGAGCACAGGCTTCCTCGGTGTCCCTCCCAGGCCAGCCTCCATCATGATGGTCTACAGGGCACTTCAGTGATGACTCAGAATAACCCTGCACAGGAAGTACTGGTTTTTCCATGCTACGACGAGAATGAGACTGAGAGAAGTGCCAGGTGAGTCAAGTTACTAGGCAGCTAGCAAATAGCAAAATCAAAATGGATTCCAGCCTTGACTCCAGGTTCAGGGTCTCTGCAGCAAAGGTGAAGAGGTAGCTGGAGCACATCCTAGGCCTCTGGGACACAACCTCACTTCATCAATCAAGCAAAAGAAATCATTGGAGTTCACGCCACAAACGTGTGGCTATTGTGCACCCACTTCTTCATAAAACTTGCGTGAGGGCAGCTTCCTGGCTGCACTCCTCTCCTCTGAAGGCCACGGAGCTCTGTCTGAGCATCTGAGGACTTGAAACTGGTAGAGGCACATACTCCAAGTGCCTCCACGTCTGCTAACTTTCAGTCTGTTTCTAGACTGCCTCTTCAGCCTGAGGCGGCCCCTCCCACGCAGTGGACATGTATCACATCTGTCTGGGCTCTCTGGTCAGCGTTCAGGGTCTCGAGACCACGCCTTCAGAGGCTTCTCCACTATGTGACAGCAAACACCTAAATCTCTCTCCCTGTGGCCAACAGCAACTCTACCAATCACATTCTGTGCATGTTCGAAGCAATACCTCCTAGTAAAATCCAAGTGAATATTCCTGCCTTGCTGAAAACAGATCTGGTCTGATCATCCAGTATCTACTGATCACCTACTTCATACAAGGGAGATGGGAGACAACACGAATCTGTAATAAATCCAAAGGAATGCTATGAAACAGCACTCAGCAGCTCATCAAGGAGAAGTCCCCAACTGATAGCATTTGAGCATCTGAAGTCTTGAAACTGGTACATAAACTACCTGTTGACACTGGATGTGGCTCCAGTTGAGCTTTCAGCACTAGGCCAAGATCAGCTATATCTAACAGCAGTATATACACCTGTAGAAAACTATGTGAAATATACAGTGCCTTCTTGGTATACTTGCTAACATCTATTCAACCATTCAACAGAAATTTACTGAGTGCAATAAAATGTTCATCCAGGGTCCTCCCTGTGGTGCAATGAGTCAAAACACAGCACTGTAATGCTGTCTGAAGCCACCAACGCACGAATTTGATCCCTGGCCAGGGAGGTGACCCTGATATGGCACAGCAGACCTCACCTGGCCAGCTGCTCCCCTCAGCAGTGTATTTTGGTCAATCAGTCTGTTCTGCTCCTCACTCTGTCCCTAGTGAATCCTCTCAACCCCACTTCCCCACACCTCTGGCCTGCACCCTATATGCATAAATAAATAAATCTTTTTTAACAAATGTTTATCCAAGATAGAAACTTGGATGAATGCTAGAGTCCAGGCACAGTCTGAGCATGTTGTATCTGTATCTTGCTTAACTCACCAACCTAATGAGGCAATGATTATTATTTTCTCAACTGACAGATGAGGAAATTGAGGCAAAGAGGTATTAACTAACTAGTCCAGGATCACAGTTAGGAAAGTCTCTCTCTCTGCCCCCCCAACTCCAGATCCCCGTAGTGCCTCTTCTTGCATACATGTGCCTCCTTGTCGTGTCCCTGCCAAAACAAGAAGACAGTATCATGAACGCTGGGTAAGCTCTCTTCATATCCAGGCACCTCTGGAGCCAACAGTACAGGTCAGTCTGACAATTATTTCTCCGAGTCCAGCAGGCGGAGGCGCCACTCCCACATTGTGCCCAACTGTGTCCTAGTTAGGGGTTCACATCAGCATGTACACTGCCTACTGAAGATGGTGCCACTACCAGCGGTGCCTCAAGCCTGATGTGCTGCCAGCCCCCAAGCCAGGAGCTGCTTTGGAAAGGGCAGCACGACAGTCTTTTCTGAAAAAGTGGCAGCTGCCCTGTGCACCAGGTGATGGTAACATCGGGCAGAGAAGCTTCATAGGGACCAGGGGGAAGACCCTAGAAAATTACCTCACATTTAATCTTTGGCCCAGCCTCCTTCACTTCTCCCCTCAACTGACCGTTCTTAATCCTTTGTTTTCTCAGATTTGATAGCACAAAGGTGTAAGACTCTTCAAGCTGTAGAAGTTACCTGAACGTCTTCCTAACAAGACGGACAATCCCGCCCTCTCCCTCTTGGGGTCACCCTGCAGACCAGACCTGGCTGGACAGGTGGGTTTGAGCACTGAGCTCCTCCACCTCGCTGCCTGGATCAGCAGCTGGCACCGTCTGCATACACCCACATCGATTCCATCTATGGTTTCACAGAGGCATCTTGCTAATTCCCATGTCCAACTGTTACTATGTTCACTTCAAATTTAGTCTATTAGAAATCAGACTAAAAAAAAGTTGAGCCTTCCTCTAATCAGGCTTGTAGATCTAACATCCAACTTAGACAACATAGGAGCTAAACAGCACGGCAAGGAAAAACCATTTAGAGCAATCTTGGGACAAATTGCAGCTTCTTCAACATATCAGTAACTTGCAAAAGGAAAAAGAAGGGACCCAGTGGACTAGGATCAAGTATGGTGGAGGGATGAGGGGGTTATTTTATGTGGCAGAGAATAACATGCATCTGAGGTCACCCCGCAGACCGGACAAAAGGGGGCTTTAAAAAGATATTTGACACTTCAGAGAAAGTCCTCAGACAGGATATCAAATGATGTTAAGGACTGGTTCTGAATTTGTCAGTGTACTTTTAATAATTTAAAAAACTTTCAACATGATGTTTATGTTAAAGTAAAAAAAAATAGCTAGTTACAGATGAACACTGCATATTTACCAGTGAAAAAGGAGGATGCTGGATTTTATGTTAAAATACTGCAAAGGGGCCCTTCTTGGTAGCAAAATGGGTTATCTATGAAGATATCCAAGGCCACTGAAGCACAAGAGTTAGATTCCCAGCCAGAGAGCTGACCCACATGGGGTAGCAAACCTCTCCTGTCTCATCCACATCCCTCCTCAGTAGTGTATTTCAATCAATCTGCTTGTTCTGCTTCCCCACTCTGCCTCTGGAGAATCCTCTCAAGCCCCACACCTCTGGCCTGTACCCCAGTTCTTGTATACATAAATAAATAAATCTTTCTTTAAAATACGGAAAAAGAAAGGGCAGGAAGGGAAAGAATAGAGGTGAGTTTAAGGGGGATTATGAAGACAGATCAGCAGACGGATGATTGCTGAAACTATGCAATGGTATATGTTATGCTTTGCTCTCTATTTTTGTGTATATTTGCAAATTTAAATAAATTTCTTAAGGTCACGTGCTCTAGATAAGGCTGTTACTTGAAACACAAAGCTAAAATAAAGACCAAAGAACTGAGTCGTGGAAGCCACATTTACTAACTGGCCATGGTCAATCACCACATAAGACGAAAGGAAGAAAGCAAAACTGACCAAGAACCAGGCCTGCCTTCAGGAAGCACTCAGTCTCACTGTGAGTCGGCAGTCTCAACCCCTGAAGTGTGGCTCATCTGAACAGCTAGTTTCACAAGAGGGAGCCCCAGATTGTTTCCACAATAGCAACCACCTAAGAAGCCTGTCATATTTATAAGATACTGTACTTACTTTCGCCATCAGCAATTGCAAAACAGATCAGCTAAAATTAGAGGACTACGGTGTTCAGAATCTTCCCAAATGCTTACTCAGGACTTTCTGTTTAATGCTGCACCAGGAAGATAGCCAGAGTCTCATGTTCTCCTGAACTTAAAGCTTTAATTAACAATCAAG